GGCCTGGCTGGCACCGAGGCCCACGTGGCGTCAGACTCGGGGACGGAGAGCCCTGCAGAGCGTGCCTGGCTCTGACGCCGTCTCCTCAGTGGCACCCCTGCCCCTGGGTTTACAGGGACAGGGCAGAGCCTAGACCAGTGATGGCGAACCTATGACACGCGCGTCAGAGGTGACACGCAAACTCATTTTTTTGGTTGATTTTTCTTTGTTAAATGGCATTTAAATATATAAAATAAATATCAAAAATATAAGTCTTTGTTTTACTATGGTCGCAAATATCAAAAAATTTCTCTATGTGACACGGCACCAGAGTTAAGTTAGGGTTTTTCAAAATGCTGACAGGCCGAGCTCAAGAGGTTCGCCATCACTGGTTTAGACCGACCTTCCGTCTGTATTTACGGCTGCTCTGCGGGGGAGTGACAGCGGATGTGGGGGCCCCCTGAACCCGGCCAGCACTGAGGGGCCCTCGGAACCAACCACCAGTGCACGGCTGCTGAGGTTTTATTTCCAACCAATTGTGCCGAAGCACACAGCTGCCTGCAAGGCCGCGCTGCCTGCAGCCGACCTGCTTGGGGCAGCGCTCTCACCAGTCGCATGGGGGTCTCCATGGAGACTGAAGGGGGGCGCACTCTGCCTCCCGTGGCCGAAACCCCACTAGGCGACGCCTCTCCCAGCAGCGGGAAGGCTGGCGTGTTCCCAGGGAACTGCCTTTCCCAGTCGCTCTCAAGGATGGAGCAAGGGCCCAGCCCGGGAGAGCCCAGACTCACGCTGTTGAAGATCTGCAGACCGTCGTGGCCGCCGGACACATATATCCTGCCCTCGAAGACCGTGACCCCGGCAGCACTGCGACTGGAGCTCATCGGGGTCACCACTGTCCACCTTCAGGAAGAGCCAAAGCAGGAGGGGTGCCGTGAGATCGGGGTCCCTGCCCCCCAGGAGCCTTAGAAGGCTCGGGCTCTGCCTGTGCTCCCCCCTCCCCCCCTTCTCCGCGAGGCCGCCCCCAGCCTCAGGCCCGCAGCTGTCTCTGACCCTTGAGGCCCCGGACCAGCCTCCCCTGGGGCCACTCCTCCCGGCACTCCCTGGTCTTTCCCACGGGCGCCGCCCCCTAGTGGCTGTCCTGGTGAACAGCAGCTTTATGGCCTCTTCTCCCTCATCCGTGTTCCTGTGGCAACCAATTCCCCGCTGGTTTGCTCCTGGGCTTGCTTGTCCCCACCCCCTGGATCTGGGCGCCCCATCCCGCCCAACCACTGCAGCAGCCTCCTTACAGGGGCCTGGGGTGCAGGCCTCTCCCCCTGGGACCCTGAGCAGCACGCCCAGGGGCTCCCCCTGCTTCCTCGAGGCGGAGTCCACACTGCCTGGTGTGGTTCCTCACCACGTGGTCCTGGTCTCCTCGCCGCCTCCGTGCCCTGCCCCACGGGCAGGCTAACCCCCGAGACCCCTTCCTGCCGCCTCCCTGCCTCCCGAGCACCCCCAGATCCGCATGGCTCGGCTCGCCTCTCCTCCGCCCGAGGGGAGGAGGAAGGCCTTCCCCACGCTGGGCCCAGGACCGCAGCCAAGGCCCCGAGTGGACGACTGTGGGCCCAGCAGACGGTGCAACATAACAGGCTTAGATGCCCTGCTTGCTCCGACATGTAATAGATTAAACGAATGAGGGATTGGCTTAAGACAGTGGTTCTCAACCTTCCTAACGCCGCGACCCTTTAATACAGTTCCTCATGTTGTGGTGACCCCCAATTTCATTGTTACAAATTGAACATAATTAAAGCATAGTGATTAATCACAAAAACAATATGTAATTATATATGTGTTTTTTGATGGTCTTAGGTGACCCCTGTGAAAGGTTCGTTCGACCCCCAAAGGGGTCGCGACCCACACGTTGAGAACCGCTGGCTTAAAAGCACCGATGAATCCATCCTACTAACACGCTGATATTGTTACATAACAAGAGAAAATTCAAATACCGAAATGAAAAAACTGGGGCTGATAATTCCACAAGATGGGCCAGGAGTTACATAAATGAGGTGAACAGACACCACGTTTCCAGCTCACTGACCACGTCGCTGACATCCCCCCATCATCCTGCCCCTCCGGGAGTGCCGCTCGCCGGCTCCCCATCCTCTCGCCTGCATTTCCACCATGACGGCTGAGTGGGTCTTTCTCACTCCCTCCCTCATTAAGCAGAGGTCACTAAGGGCCTACAGGCCGCAGGCACTGCAGGGCTACAGGCAGGGCAGCTCCGCCCTGAGCAGCGTGACCTCAACGTCAGTTCTAACCGTTTACCCCCAGGTCCAGCCAGCCCAGGTGCCGGGGGCGGGTCCTTACTTGTCCGTCTCGGGCGAGTAGGTCTCCACAGAGTTGAGGGAAGAGTTGCCGTCGTAGCCCCCACAGACGTAGATCTGCCCGTCCAGCACGACCGTCCCCATGGCGCTGAAAGACAGTCAGCCCAGGGGGCCTCAGCGTCCGGCCGCCTTCCTGTGCCCGAGACATAAACCCAACCACCAACCCTCCCCGAGAGCAGCCTAAACCCAGGACGGGGCAAGTCAAGGTGGGAGCTGAGGGAGGACGCCGCCCTGGGCTCCCCGCTCTCATCCAGACTGCGGGTTCCTGCCCTCCTCACTCCGCAGGCCTGACCGTCTCGTGCCCCTCCTGCCGCTGGCTGTGCTCCTGCTCTGACTGCCCTGCAAGGTCCTGATCACATTCCTTGCTCTCCTCCTCAAAAGCCACCTGATTCCTCAGCAAGAATGACTCCCCAGCCTCACACTTCCTCAGTGAACCCGACAGTGTTGTGTGAGGTGCCTGCACATGCAGACCTTGGCGTGTTTGGTGTGTTACCATGATCCTCCCATTCAACTCACTGTCAAGTTCGACAGGCGTGTTTTCATTGCACACATGGCCCCGCATGGCCCTGATCTGCCGCAGTGGGAGAGGGGACAGCTCCTGCAGCCGCGCATCAGGACAGGTGTCAGGTGCCCTACGCTGCACTGCGCCCGCCCCCCCCCCCAAGGAAGCAGCACCATCATCAGGCACCAACGGCGGCTCCTGCCCAGCTGCCCAGAGAGGCGAGCTCAGATGTGAGTGAGACACGCCTCCTCCGTGCTGTTCGCAGGGCCAGCTCTGCCAGCACCAAGGACCCCAGGACCTGGCGTAACCATGCAATCTGCTCCACACGGAGCCTCGGTAAGCGACAAATGCCTAGCTGCCGACTCCTGTGTTCACCTGAAGCTGGAGGAGATTCTCGGTAAATCCTGGCGTCTAACAGGAACGTTAAATACCAGGCTCCACTGCACAGCAAATCAGAGCGTCCACACGAGGCCCCTGAGGGCCGCGTCACAGACCCCTGAGCAGCCTGAATGGGAAGAGGACTTGCCTTGGGCAGGGATGTGGGAAGGTCACACACCCACTGGACCTGCCACTGTCTGTTTAGAGGGGACACAAGTCACAACACGGAAGTTCAACAAAAATATGAGAAACAGAGGAGCCACACCAGTGAGATGAACTACCAGCTCAGTGGTAAAGATGAGAATGAGGAGATCAGGGAAATGCTGGCTGGTCCGTGAGAGAAGGCTCCGGAAGCAGCCTGTCACCATTGGCAGGACAGGGGGCCGAGGGGGATGTCAGCAGGGAAGCGACAAGGACATGTGAAGGCAGCCTGTGACTGAAGGGGGTGCACGGAGCTGGGTCCACTGCTAATAATGGCACTGGCCGCGCGGAAACGCACCCCCAGGCCCCTCCCTCCCAGACACTCTCCAACCCGTGGCCTGAAAGCTGGGAGGCAGCCCGGCGCCGACAGACACCGGAGAAGTGACTGCGGTCGAAGCGAAACGGCAGCCACGGCCGGGACACGGAGCGGAGTCACTCGAGGCCCCAGAGCTGCCCAGGACCCACGGCCGCCGGAGCCGGAGGCGGCGACGGTGGGAAGAACACGAGGGCATTAGCCTGCTCACCGCCTCGGGGGCGGCCTTGCGGACACAGCTTTTCTCCCAGGAACCTGCTGTGGCCCTTTGTGCATCGGGTCTGACTGGTACAGAGGCAGGTCCTCTGGCTCGAGGCCACGGCTGACAGACCCCGATGGAGGTGGGACCTGTGCACCGTGGCGTGACACTTCCGTGTGGCAAAGGACTTCACGCTGACCCTTCTCCCCCACTCACATGCAGCCACGTGATCTTGGCGTGGTCACATGATCTTACAAGTAGAGAGCCAGGCATGGCCGGACAAAGCGGCCTGGGAGGCAAAGCCTTAGGCCCTTAAAGAGCAACCGGTCCAGGCTTTTAAACGGCCGCTTTCAGAAAAGCATTCGTGTAACTTGCCCCCCAAGTCGGGCGCAGGTCAGGGAGCTCAGCGTGTAAAAGTGACACGTGTGCGATCGGCTAAGCGGTGGGGCCTGGGACTGCTTTCCTCTCCTCTCGGCTCTGGAAGAAGCATCGGGTTCCATCTGAAACCCCTGATCCCGTGTGGCCTCACCGAGGGCAGGAGAGGGAAGAAGTGTCCAGCTCCACCCCACCCGCCGCAAACACTCCACGCGCACCGATGGCAGGAAGGGTGCGCCCGTCACCTCGGCGCGGGAGGCGAGACGGCACTATCTGGCTGCCCTGAGTCCCACTGCTTGTGCAGGAAAGGTGGGCGGGCGAGCGGTGGAGGATGTGAGAGACGTGCGAGCTTGTCTACCTCCCCAGCCCTCCGCACTCGTGCCTGGGGTGGCCCTGAGGTGGAGAGCATGGCTGTGTTCACATGTTCCCCGGGCAGTGAAAGCACAGGCCTGGCCGGGGCCCTGGGGAAAGAGGGAAAAGGCAACACCTCGGATTTCCTCTTATCACTCCTTGTCCTGCGAGTCCCCTTAGTCCCCTCCCCTGACCTCCTCTCCCCGAGACCCTCGGAGGACGGAGGACGAGGCAGATGGGGCCGCTCCCACTGGAGGAGCCGCGGGCTGGCCTGGCTGCGGGAAGTGCCCGCCCGCGCTCGTGGTGTATGCTGCCACGTGCCCGCTCGCCCAGCACGGCGCCCCCGATGCCGCGTGCGCCTGCGGGTACCTTCTCTTGCTGTTCATGCTCCCCGCCCGGGCCCACGTGTCCGTCTCTGGGTTGTAGACCTCCACGGTGCTCAGCCGCAGCTGGCCGTCGTAGCCCCCGATGGCGTAGAGCAGCCCGTTCACCACAGCCACACCGACGCGGCTGCGGGCGGTCGTCATGGGATGGCACTTCTCCCAGCGATTGGCGAGGGGGTCGAACACTTCCACCACATTCAGGGAATCACCTGCATAAAAATTTGCTACTCACGTTAAACACATGACCCGCCTCGTTTGCATCACAGCTGCTGGGGACTGGTTAGAGGGGCCGTGTAACGTGGCTCTATCGGCTCTTCAAGCTGGAAGGGCCCACTGAGAAGGTTCAGCCCTGACAACCTCAAAGCTCAGCCTCGAAGGGAATCGGAACCGGACGGGAGGCGTTACTCCCGAGGGAGGGCAATGGGTGCTCCACCTGCTTACAGCAAAGTGAAGGCAGGTGGATGCAGAGTTCCCCGAGCAGGAGGCAGGCCCCGGGGAGGGTGTGGGTTCCAGCACCCACGTTCCTCGCCAGCCGGGACCCTGGGCAAGTGGCTTGGGGTCCTGTCCTGTGCTCTCATGGGGAAGGCACTCTCGAGGGCAGAGCGGCCTGAGGTGAGGGGTGTGATCCGTCAGTCACCTGCCCAGCGCTCAGCAGCGGGTGATTCTCTAGCCTCACCTTTTCCTCAGGCTTTTGTGGGGGTCAAATCACACACCCGCCCTTTATCCTGCTCCGGGCACTCAGCCTGCCACACGACAGGTCACTGCTGAGAACTCAGAGGCCACAGACAAGTGCCCGCCCCTCACGGACTTTCAGTTAAAAACAAAGCTGCCCGGACTGCCCCCCGCCCCCCCCCAGACCCGCTGGCGCTGTGGCAAGGCCTGGCCCTCGCACCGGAGACCAAATTCCCTGTCACTGCACTGCCCGGACCCAGGTGTCCTGCCTCCCGACTAAATCCCTCCTGCCTGCGATGGAGCCCGGGCGCGGCAGGGCGGGCCCACGGAGCTTCCCCAAAACCCCGACTGTCTGATACGAGAGCTGCCCCTGGCGTCCGGACTGTAAAGCGGGTGCGTCACACGGAGCGGTAAGAGCGACCAGGATTGCTGACCGTGGCCCACACCGCGCGTCTGTCCTTCTTGGGTGACATTCTCTCAGTCGAACCCCAGGGATCCATTTGACCAAATGGGATCAGTCAGCCTGGGGTCAGAGCTGGGTCTCTATGTCCTATTGAGGGCTGAGCCCCTCCACGGCCAGCGGGTATCAGAGAGAGAGTGCTGGCTCAGGAGTCAGGACCCACGATCCAGTCCCTGCCTGGCCAAAACCAACTGTGAGCACGGGGCAAGTTCTCTGGGCCGCAGTTTCCCCATTGGGAAGGTAAGGGGCCAGGCCTCAGGATTTCTAAAGGCCTCTTTAGCTCAATATTCTGATCAATGGTGTCAACACCTGACATGCTTTAACTGCAGAACAATTAAATAAAACCGAGACGGGCCAGAGGGGTCGCACGCACAGGGAGGAGCCAGAGGGCAGGCGAGGCTGTTTGGTGCTCCCTCACCCTCGAGTGCAAGGCAGGGCTCTGTGAGGGGGAGCTGCAAGGTACCTGCTGAGTTGAGGCCTCCCACGGCGTAGATGAGCCCAGCGATGGACGTGCAGCAGCGAGGCCGCGTTCGGAAAGCTGGCAGGTGGGGCCGGCGCTCTGGCATGAGGTGATAGTCCTTTGCTTCGTCCACCAGGTCCCTGGAATGAGTGCGAGGTGCTAGGACAGCAGGCATCCTCCCAGTGGGGTCCACACTCCCATTTCCAGGCCTGGTCCCCCCACCTCCACCCGCAGGGGACCCTCGGCAGCACCCTGGGCAGCCCCACCCTGCTCACCGGCACTTGTGGCAGCATCGCACCAGGTCTTCCTGCTGCACTCGGTCCGACAGGAACTGGGGCCGGCAGAGGGGCAGCCGGATATTGGACAGCAGCTCAGGCAGGCAGGGCCCCCTCTGCTCGCGGTCGTACCTGACCCAGGCCAACGCGGCTTCAAAGACCTGCCCAGACAGAGCGGATGCTCTGGCGGCGACTCTTCCCAGTCAGAGGCCACATCCCTGCACCCCGA